CTCCCCCCCCCCCCCCATGTAGCGTTGCCAAACATAAAGGAATTTCGTGCAATATGCAGGATTGTTTACAGAATGCAAAATTATTTTTTCTTGTACATTGTAAATACAGTAATAAATATTTCGAAAATAAGTTGTAATATAGAAACATATAGAAATTTTCGGCAATTTTGTCACATTTTTGCAGTATTTTTAAAATATTATATGGCAACACTACACCCACCACCGGGATTACGGCTTAAGTCTATAGATTGTTTATTAAGGCGAGAATATTTCATTCATCATTGGCCCTAAATATTTAGTATAGGACTTATATTTAGTTACAAACATTTTGCCCTGCATTTCATTTAATACATTTACATCACTTAAAGTTATCATCAGTTTTTGTAGTCTTGGCTGTGATTCCGACCGGTATTTCAATAGTAGATATCTTTGCAGTAAATATATATACAGTTGTTGTTCGAGTCTAACAAACAATTCAATTAATAATTAAAACATTTAAAAAATATAAATTAATTGCAAAACTCACTTAACAGTAGTTTTATGCATTAAATTTGGTTGATTTGGATTAAACAGCATTATTGCCGTCAACTTAGCATAAAAATAATCAGTTCAGCAATTATATAAATTAACATGTCAAATTAATTACTTATTACCAGGTTTATAATAATCGGGTCGCTGTAATCCCACACCAGTAGAAATTGTCCATAGTAATATTTCAACGAGTTATAATGTTTTTGTTCAAACATACACAAATCAATCTGAATTGATCTTAAACTATCCTAGATTAATATTTAAAAAAAATATGAGCACTATATTATTGACAAAGATATAAATAAAACTCATAATGATATTACAAGTGGCATGATAAAACAAGCACGATCCTGGTGATAATATTTCAAATTCCTGATTAACATCAAGTCTTTGCCGCCGTATTTAACTAAAGCCAAGCGATCGTTGGGACAGATATTGTTGAATGCCATCAAATGTTGTGCAAAACTTATTAAATCGGTCACAAATTTCTCATTCAAATGAGAATAATTTGCAATCATTTTCTCCAACCCTAATATTTCTTTAACTATTTTCTCATTATTTAACCGATAGTTGCCATCAAATGTTGTGCAAAACTTATTAAATCGGTCACAAATTTCTCATTCAAATGAGAATAATTTGCAATCATTTTCTCCAACCCTAATATTTCTTTAACTATTTTCTCATTATTTAACCGATAGTTGAATACATTGGAAGCGGTCATCAATTCCCGCATCCGATTGCACTCTAATTGATTCAAACCCTTATAATCGATGAGTTCCCGGAATACGGGAATTACTGGCAATTCCGGCGACTCTTCATTACTGGCAGTGAATATATTGTTTGTCACAGAGTTTTCAATATCTCTGATCTGTTCCCTAAGGTCTTCGGCATTTGTATTGATTGTGTTTTCTAACAATATATCAATTTCTTGACAAAAATTATTGTCAATTTGTTTTGAATCAGTCGACGAGTGGGTTGTAGTCAACGAAGATTTACAATCACCTGAATTAAAATTAACATACAATTAGATTAATAAAATAATTAACGCATTTATTACTTTATTTTTAATTTAAGTTTCAATATATTTATTAAAACATTACCCAAAGAAACCACGGATTTATTGCATTGCAATTGTTTTAGTCTATTGTTTATAACAACTTGTTTTAGTCTTTCATTTTCCTCTTTACTCCGGATTAACTCCTATTGAATAGAAATTATAAATATTTTAATTAATTACTTGTTTATTAAAATCACACACTTTTCTCATTCCTGCGGCCAAACACTTGTCGAGCCGACACTTTTTACACCACTTTCTGGTCAATAGGTTTATAACGCATTCACCGTTTGATTCACAAACCAATGGCTGTAAAAACCAGAAAAAATTCAATGTAATTAATTATAATTTTTATATAAAATCAATTAAACCTTATTTTTGGGCGCAAATGTCCTGAAAAATGCTTTACAACAGTCGCAACTAATCGCACCAAAGTGCCTTGCTACATTAAAATAAATAATTAATGTTAATTAAATTGTATAATTGTATGTTAAGTCTATGGGATCATTACCATTGGCTTTATCGCCACAAATGCCACATATTTTGTTCATCTTGATTATAATTATGTAATTACTTCTGTCACAATGTTATTTATTTTAATTCAAATAAAAATACACTGTTTATAAAATTATAATTTTGTAAACAACATTATACTTTACGCCATCTAAATAAATAAACATAATTACAGGTTTATCAGTAACATACATATGTAAAGTTATATTATGTTTTTTAACAGGTATAAAGTATGTTGCAAAGTATTTATAGTCAATAATATTTATATTTTAATTTTTAACTTTTACTAACAACATTGTATAACTATTTTTAAGTTACTATAGATCAAGTACTTCTTTTACAAGTGGACCTAGGTGATGTTTGTAATGCCTGTATACGGGTAGACCAATCTTCAATTCTAACTCATTTAATAGATTTAAATCTTTTAATGAAAGCATCAGTTTTTGAAGTTTTACTTCCGATTCTGACCCGTATTTCCATAATAAATGTTTGTGTAATAAATGAATATACAATTGTTGTTCGAGTCTATAAAATATATGATAAAAAATTAATAATTTTATGTTAATTGTTAAACATTGTATCACAACTCACTTAACACTGAGTTTATGAGTTAGATTCGGTCGATTAGGGTTATAATAT